TGACCTCGTGATCCTCCCGCCTTGGCCTCCCAAAGTGCTAGGATTATAGGCGTGAGCCACCGCGCCGGGCCCCTCCAAGAGTTTTAACCCACTTGATAGGATTGAGGCCGGAAAGTTCATCTGTAGCTCATTCCAATATATCAGCTGCAGGTAAAACATTTAAATGAATCTGTGAGGAGTGAAAAATCTGTTCCTTTAATTTGGGAATGTCCAGTGTTAAACTGTCCTCATTCCCTAGTGTCTCCTTACTTTTTCCCAATGATGTTCATTAGAATTATAAGTATGGGAGGTAATACAATAATCAGATGTGTTCCAGTCACAATTCAACTGTAATCTGTGTTCTCAGCTCATTATTCGATCTCCCATCCAAATTACAGTCTGTCGAGGATCATTAATTTGGTTTGCCAATTTTTGATCCAGTCTTGTTAGAGAATTCCAAAGCCTAGAAGAATTTTTCTGCCAAAGATCCACATAGTGAGCAGTTTGAACTGAGGTGTGCAGAGCTACTCCTGTAGCTGCAGCAGTAGCTGTCACGGCTATAATTCCTGTAATAGCAATTAGTATAAATATGAATCATTTTGATTGATCTGACACTCCTTTTGGTACCTCTGATAATATGTACTGAAGGAGAGGCTTCCCATGATCGGTTAAGGTTTGCTGGAATCCATACTCCTTCTCTGGCTCTGACTAGTAGAATACAGCTAGTGCTCGACTTACGACCGCGGTCGGGACCACGGACCGGTCGTAACACGACTTGGTCGTAAGTTGAGTAGGCTATATGTACAGTTGAAATGGTGCACACGGAGATGGTAGTGCTGCCGGAAGCTGGTCTGCACTGTCGTACGCCCAGCTGGGCAACGTTTGCGCTGCCAGACGCAGAGCAGTCGTGGCTAGCGATTGTGGTCGTAAAGTCGAATGGTCGTAAGTTGCATAGGTGGTAGGTCGATCAATACCTGTACTATTTTCAGGATTAAATGTTGAATCATGCAGGTCAACAATTTACAGTTTTCACAGGTAAGGGTTTGAGTATCAGGTCTAATGCTTACATTTCCTAATACCAACATACAGGTGGCTTAACACAACTTGGAAACGGAATAGTTCTGTTTGGTTTTTTGTGCCAGTCGATCCTTTTCCTTTCCACACTCATATGAGCTGTTGCCATAGTCAATTCCACAGGCTCCGGGTGCTCTGGACCTAAAATGGGTTTAATGAGCTTTGGTTTGGGTGGGGCTGTTCCTTTATCTTTACATTTAGTGGGAAAAGGAGATTCTATTCTTTTAGTAAGGTTATTTCTAGTTGTTACATTTTCCGTTATTTCTAACAATATTGGTGCATCTACACAAGATACCTGTCTCATACAGTTTTTTTCTTAATTTACCTTTAGGAGCCCAGTCAATAATCGCCCCATATGCATTATCTTGAAGTATGACTGCCCTGTCAGCTACACAATCTTTCCAAGTAAGAATTTCTAATTGAGGAGACCATTCTGGATTGGTTTTTGGGCAGTGTTTTTCTTCTGGCTTATATTGATTAGTGTACTCAAAAGTTGTGTAATGTCCATAGGGTTGCATCTTATACAGGGTATTTGGTCTAAAGGACATCCACTGACTGTAGGATAAGGAGGACCAGTTCTGTTATCCCTTGGGATGTATATCAACCAGCTTTGAGGCTTTAGGGTTAAACACCCTGGAGCTTTCCCGAGACAGATGGGGGAAAACGACATCCAAGAGAGACGTTCATTAACATTCCTTTCTCCTCTGGTTGAGCAGGGCACCGGTTATTAGGAAGACCAGGCATCCAAATGCTATCATTTATGTGAGGAAGGAGACCTAAGCATCTAAGATCACCTCCCCCTTGACTTCCACACTGCATTTCAAGACTGGCACCTCCTTAATTGCCTTCCTATAGCAGGTATGGTGTGGGGAATCTTTCCAGAAGGCATTGCTTTGGCACCCCCACTCCATGGACCAAGATCCTTTCACATGTAATTTCTAAGGCCAAGGCCTCAGAAATGTAAACCCAAGGCTCTTTCACGTGTAATTTCTAAAGCTGTAAAACCAAGACCCTTTCACATGTAATATCTAGAGTTGTAAGCCTATATAGAGGCAGAGCTTCTCTTTGTTAGGGGAGCTTGGCAGTTAGATAACTATGTTGCCTTGCTCCCGGCTGTTCCTGCTTCATATGTACACCTCTGTAGGTGAATCCATCCAAGTAATAGGTGTAATCAAAGGTGGAAATGGCCCAATACGTATAGTTCTCTTCTGCTGAAACAAGGTTATTACCCCAGCAGTCACAACCATGACTGCTGCCAGAATAAGATTACCTGGTGTCACCTCCATGCGAGTCTCCCTCAGGCTTGCTGTTGCCATCTGCACCAGCCTCTTCATTTGACCCCATGCCAGCAGGTTGGTTTTCTGTGTTGCCTTTGTCCCTGAGACACTCAGCTTGGCTATCTTGCGCCACACCACTCCTGGGCCTGTTCTTTCTCTTCTTGCTCTGTAGTTTGGAGGGGCTCATTGTAGGGGTTCATTGTAAAGCTTTGGCTGCCTGGTAGGTACCCAAATGTGAGGTTGGTTTTCTCCTGGTAAAATACAAGCATAGCCTCTTCCCTAGGTTACAACCTTTCCCAAGTTCCACTGATTGGTGATGGAATCTTTCCACCATATTGTCTTTCCTTCCTTGGGATTAATTTTGTGTCCAACAAAATGTTTTTTGGCAGCTGTGGACCCTTGGAAACATTCAAAAAATTTAAAGTGATTAATGCCAATTGTAATTGTGCTTGAGGAGTAAAATACTCCTTACTGTCGACCCCGGTTTTTGGTTTTGCCAGTTGAGTTTTTAAGGTTCTGTTTACCGTTTCTACTATTGCTTGTCCCTGGGAGTTACAGGGGATTCCTGTTGTATGAATTATGTTCCATCGTTTGAGGAACTGCTTTAGTGGCTTACTGCAGTATCCTAGCCCATTATCAGTTTTAATTTTTTGTGGAATTCTCATAATCGCAAAGCAAGAAAACAGGTTTTTTTAACATGTGCAGTGCTTTCTCCTGTTTGGCAAGTTGCCCAAATGAAATGAGAGAGTAGCCACAGTAACATGAACATAAGATAATTTTCCAAATGAAGGAACATGAGTAACATCCGTTTGCCAAATTGAATTTCGGTGTAATCTTCTATGATTTACCACTGCCTCTTGAGTGCGTAGTTGAAGAACTTGACATTGAGGGCAATGTTGGACAATTTGTTTCAACTGTCTCCAAGTTAAAGGAAATATATTTTTTAAACCTGCTGCATTTGTAGTTCATACATGCAATTTTTTGGCTTCTATAAAAACTGGAGAAACCAGTAAATCTGCCTGTTCGTTTGCTTGAGCTAAAGGTCCAGGTAAACAAGTATGTGTTCGAATATGTATGATATAATAAAATGGAGCTTCTCTGCTTCTGCTTTTTGAAGTGATTCAAATAGCTGTCTTAATTGATCATCCTGAATGTATTTTAACAATGCAGTTTCTACATTTTTTGTAGAATGTGCTACATGAGCTGAGTCTGAAACTATGTTAACTGGTTGCTGTATATCTGTAAGGACCGAGATAACTGCTTGTAACTCTGCTCTTTGTGCTGACTGAAAATTTGTTTGGATGACTCTGTGTAAAGGACCTGTGCAAGCTGCTTTTCCATGCTTAGGTGCCTCAGTAAAAGTAACAGCGCCCTCTATTGGCTGATCTTGGGTAATTTTAGGTAAAACCCATGATGGAAGCTTTAGGAACTGAAAAACTTGTTTTAGGATAATGATTATCAAGTTCGTCCACGAAATCTGCCAAGCTTAATTGCCAGTTGACCGAATTGATGTCAGCTTGTCAAACTTGTTTTTTAGTTAAAGGAACAATTATATTGTCAGGTTCATATTCCAGACAATCGAACAATCCTTGTTCTGCCTTGACTAATGACACTAGCTATTTGATCCAAGCACACAGCAGTTAAGTTTTACTTGTATTGTGAGGTAAGAAGACTCATTCTACTAAACTTTCATCTTGAACAATGACTCCTGTTGGAGAATGAGGTGTTGAGAATACAATGAGCTGTAACTGTCAGTGTTAACTCTACCTGGGCTTGCTGTATTTTTTCTTCAATCATTTTTTTTTTTTTTTTTTTTTTTTTTTTTTTTTTTTTTTTTTTTTTTTTTTTTTTTTTTTTTTTTTTTTTTTTTTTTTTTTTTTGAGACGGAGTTTCACTCATGTTACCCAGGCTGGAGTGCAATGGCGCGATCTCGGCTCACCGCAACCTCCGCCTCCCGGGTTCAGGCAATTCTCCTGCCTCAGCCTCCTGAGTAGCTGGGACTACAGGCATGCGCCACCATGCCCAGCTGATTTTTTGTATTTTTAGTAGAGACGGGGTTTCACCATGTTGACCAGGATGGTCTCGATCTCTTGACCTTGTGATCCACCTGCCTCGGCCTCCCAAAGTGCTGGGATTACAGGCGTGAGCCACCGCGCCCGGCCTTCCTTCAATCATTTTTAACTTCTCAGCTGCTTCTTTTGTTAACACTCTTTTACTATTTAAATTTGGATCACCTCTTAAAATTGCAGATAGATTAGACATAAGTACGTAGGAATACTGAGAGGTGGCCTTATCCAATTAATGTCTCCTAACAACTTTTAGAAATCATTTAATGTTTTCAGTTTGTCCTTTCTAATTTCTACCTTGTGAAGGCGTATTTGCCTCTCTTCAACTTGCATTCCCAAATATTTTACTGGTGTTGAGGTTTGAATTTTATCAGGAGCTATAATTAGCCCTGCTTTTTGCACACATTCTTTTAGGCAATTATAACATAAAACCAACTCTTCTCTAGTTTCTGCAGCACATGATATATCATCAACATAGTGAATGATAAAGCACTGAGGAAAGTGCTTGCATCATTTCCCACAAAAGTCTGACACATTGTGGGACTATTTAACATTCCCTGAGGCAAAACCTTCCATTGATAACTCCTAGCTGGCTTTTGGTTGTTTACTGCAGGTATTGTGAAAGCAATCTTGCTTTGCCAGAGGAATTGTAAAGAAACAGTCTTTTAAATCTATGATTATCAAAGGCTATTCCTTTGGGATCACCGCTGATGAAGGCATACCTGGCTGTAATGCTCCCATGGATTGAATTACTGCATTTACTGCTCTCAGGTCAGTCAGCATTCTCCATCCCCCAGATTTTTTTTTTGAATTAGAAACACCGGGGAATTCCAGGGAGAAAATGAAGGTTATATATGCCCTCTTTCCAGGTGCTCTTGTGATAATTCATGATAAGCCTCCAATTTATGCTTTGGAAGTGGCCCCTGTGGTTTTTCTGTTTTCCATGTTAAAGCAATGGGTTCTGGAGGCTCATCAATATCCGCGATTAAAAATTGTAGCCAATCCCTGCTCTGTCTAATTTTATAGCAGCTTCTATAGGTTGAGTGGTTCCATTTTCATTTTTTCCTAATCCTTTTCCAGGCCAATATCCCGTTTGAGACATAATCTTTTGACTTTGCTTGCTGTTGTTTGGTGGAAAAGAGATTTCAGGCCCCCACTATTGTAAAATGTTTCTCCCCCACAAATTAATGGGAACATCAGTAACCATGGGTTGAAAAGTGCATTGCTGACCTTCAGGTCCCACACAATGCAAAATTATACAGCTCTGGTGAGCTTCTGGGGTTTCCAACCCCAACTACTTTTGTTTTGGCCAGTGCTCGGGCCATTGACTAGAGCTTATTATAGAAATATCACTACAGTATCTACCAGACCCTTAAAAGTTTTTTCTTGAATTGTAGTATTACAAACTGGCCGATTATCCATAAGTTTGCTTGCCCAGTGCACTGCTTTTTCTTGAGAATTACCAATTTTCTTCTTTCTTACTGCATCACTGATTCCTACTTTTACATAAGGTAGAAGCAATTCTGTCTCCTTGTTCTGCTTTCCAGGGTGCACTGGAAGTCACTATCAATTGAATTTCTCCCTTTAGATCTGGATGAACAATTCCTATCTGAATCTGCACTCCCTGCAATTTGACACAAGTCCTACCGTATTTTCTGGTAGAGGCCCGCACACCCCTATAGATAATTTCTGTGGTGTGTCCCCTGGGAGAATTGTTATAGGCCGAATGCAACACAGATCTACTGTTGCACTAACTGAGGTAGCAGGAAACAATTTATTTATTTTTTACTTTTTTTTTTTTTTTTAAAGATGGGGTTTCACCGTGATGGCCAGGCTGGTCTTGAACTCCTGACCTCAGGTGATCCACCCACCTCGGCCTCCTAAAGTGCTAGGATTACAGGCGTGAGCCACCGCGCCAGGCCTATTTTTTACTTTTAAAATTTATTTTAATTTAATATTTTTATAATTTTACAGCACTTTGTGGTGGCATTTGCTGCACACCACTATAAACTACAGGTGTTGTGACTTCTACTCATTATCCTGTTAATTGTCCTGGCAGCGGAGATCGAACTTCCTGAGTTTGCCACTTAATGAATCGATTTTTACCTTGCCAGGACTGGGAGGAGGTGGCCATTCATGACTATCTCATTTTGGTGCTGTTGGCTCAGTCCGTTTCTGAGTGAATACTGAAGGAGGTTCCTCCAAACTGTGAGGCATTTTAGACATATTTGCATAGATTACCTCATTTTCGTGATGCCCTCATGAAACTAATCTTTCCGTTTCTCATTTTTCTGACCGGAAAGATTTTCTATCAAACTCTTCTTCACTATCGTCTTATATACTGATATTTACACTATTCTCAGGAGTTCCTTCAGCCCCCTGACTCTTTACTGAGAGTGCTGATGAGAGTAGTATTTTCTTTTTTTTTTTTTTTTTTTTTTTTTTTTTTTTTTTTTTT